ACAGTTCATTAAAAATTCAAAAACCGATTACGATTGATTGAACATCCCTAAACATTTTTCGACACCACATGGCGGCGATTAATGTTATTAGTCGAGTATAATACTTTTTAATGTTAATTTTTGCACGCAGCTAGTCCGTGTTATAAAAGTATTTCCAACTAATATAATAAAATTGAAAATTTATTATCGCGTATGTCCGATGCTTTTATAACACAGGGCGATTCTGGACATTGTCCTTTCCTCATAATAGCTTCAGAAGTCGGTTTAAGTTATAATTCAGGAGCTACTATATTATAATAATTTTATTATTTTTATTTTATTGAAGTCGGATATATATAATAGTGACATAATAGTGATCACCGTCGCCCATGAACATGTGCAACACCTGGGAAATGTTTTAAAATCCTTTTAGAAAGCAGTAGGTTCTTTTCTTGAAGGTCCTTAATCGTATCGTATTTTCTATTAAAATTAAAATTTTTACTAGACTAGGAAATATCACAAGCCCGAAAATGTCTTATATATATAGTTAGATTAAAAACTTGACCCCTTTTTTCTCCACACCATTTTTAATTTAAATTTATATGGGATCACTCCTGAAGTTTATATAACCTATTAAATAAATAAAAAATCATCGAAATTGGTTCTCATCAAAAAAAAAAGCATGCAGTCGAATTGAGATACATCCTCATCCTTTTTTGCAGTTTGCTAAAAACGTATTTAAGAAACGTTCTTGGCTCTTTTGTTATCAAAAACCTTTCGAATTCAGTTATGTCCAAAATATTACTACTATAGTATATTGTCGAGACACCAACGAAATTATTAATTGCAATTATAAAATTTAGTGCAAATTTACCACGTGCTCGGCGGTGAAGGAAAACATCGTGAGGAAACCTGCATGTCCGCGAAATAAGAAAAAAATATTTCGAAAAAAAAAAAGCGCCAACACGGACTGGGGCAACGTGGCGGACCTTTCCTTGCCCTAAAACCCTCAGAGGAGGCCTGTGCCCAGTAGTGGGATGTATATAGGCTGTAACTTTTTTTAATTATATTATAATGTGGTAGAATCTACACCACAGCATGTTATGACTGCGACACGAATGGGTAGACCCGACGGGAAGCACTACGCTCTCACAGAATACCAGAGTGAAATAGCAGCTTAACACTATTGTTTCGTATAGTGAGTGTCGAGGACTGTATTTTACTGAACTGTATTTTAATAATACGAAACCTATCCAATTGCAGAGACGTGAAAGACAGGGTGACGTTATATCCCCGAAACTCTTCACCGCTGCATCGGAAGACGTTTTCAAGCTTCTGGACTGGAAAAGATACGGTATTAACATCAATGGCGATTACATCACTCACCTTCGATTTGCCGACGATATAGTCCTTATGGCAGAACCGCTGGAGGACCTAAGCACTATGCTCAATGACCTCAATAGTATTTCCTAACGGATAGGCCTTAAGACGAACATGGACAAAACAAAGATCATGTTTAATGTACATTTCACACCTATGCCGGTAGTTGTTGGGAGCACTAAGCTCGAAGTTGTTGACGAGTATGTTTACCTGTGACAAATAGTCCGACTAGGTAAGTCCAACTTCGACCGAGAGGTCAATCGATGGATTGAACTCGGTTCGACAGCGTTCGGAAAATTACGGCACATCTTCTCGTCAGGTATACCTCAAAACTTGAAAACGAGACTGTACAACCAGTGCGTGTTGCCAATGATGACCTATGGAACTGAGACGTGGTCCTTCACTGCTGGCCGGATGAGGAAGCTCAAGGTGCTCAAGGAGCTATGGAGGGCTATGCTCGGAGTTTCTCTGCGTGATAAACTTAGAAATGAGGATATCCGCAGTAGAACCAGAGTGACCGACATAGCGCAACGGATTAGTAAGCTGAAGTGGCAATGGGCCGGCCATATAGTTCGGAGAACCGACAACCGATAGGGAAAAAAGGTTCTCGAGTGGTGGCCTCGTACCGGCGGACGAAGTGTAAGGCGTCCCCCCACTAGATGGAGTGACGACCTGGTAAGATATGCAGGAAGTCGATGGATGTAGGCGGCTCAGGACGGTGCTTTGTGGCATTCCTTGGGGGAGGCATAGGTTCAGCAGTGGACTTGTGAAGGGCTGTAATGATGATGATTTTAATAATAAATAATCGACCTGTAGTAAAGCAAGAGTATCCACTACTCTATATCGCGTCCATAGAAAAGAAAAGAAGGCGCCATAGGTGTCTTAAGAGGCGACAGAAGGAAACAAACCAGGAGAATGGGAGCAGCATCTTCTTAATAAGGAGCAAAAAAATAAAACTGGTAAATATATATATATATATATATATATATATATATATATATATATATATATATATATATATATATATATACATATATTTATATGAATTATTAGATAAGAAATGGATAAACAAAAAAAAACAGTTAAAAATATGTAAAAGAAATAAAGAATACGGCATTGTTTTCCAAATATAATAGAAATTTTAAAAAAAACTTTTATAAAACGTAACTTTTCAATGATAATGAAACTGTGTGGCCATGTGCGTAACAAAGAAGTTCACCTTAGTCCTAAACAACATGTGGTGAGCATAAGAATATTTACCCTTACTGATCTGTGAATGTTTAGTCCGAGGAAAATTCCATGATAGGGTAGCAACATTTAGTACGGAGTTAAAATTAAAGGGAACACAATTAAATATACCAAATGTAATAAAGAATACGGGATTGAGGCATTGTTTTCCTATACATTAGAAACTTTAGAAAAGCTTTTATATAAAATGCAACTTTTCAATGATAATGAAACTGTGTGACCATGTGAGTAACAAATGGTCCGTGGCTGAATGTTTAGTCCGAGGAAAATTCCATGATAGGGTAGCAACATTTAGTACGGAGTTAAAATTAAAGGGAACACAATTAAATATACCAAATGTAATAAAGAATACGGGATTGAGGCATTGTTTTCCTATACATTAGAAACTTTAGAAAAGCTTTTATATAAAATGCAACTTTTCAATGATAATGAAACTGTGTGACCATGTGAGTAACAAATGGTCCGTGGCTGAATGTTTAGTCCGAGGAAAATTCCATGATAGGGTAGCAAAACTTAGTATGGAGGTAAAATTAAAGGAAACCGAATTAAATATACCAAATGTATTATTAACAAAATTTAACATATTCTAAGTAACAACCACAAAAACACTAGTCGTACTAAATACCTATATACTATTACATTTACAAATTAGTTTTCTTTCATAAGTTACATAATATTATGTATAACGATACACGTTTACAATCTTTATTAAATATACTTGAGCGACCTAGCCAAAACAGAGTTATATGTTTTCTAACGTTGAGCAATAAAAGAAATATCATTTTCTCAAAGACTTATTACTAATTAGATAACCAGTTACGTATAAAAAATATACATTATACATTTTGTTATCAACACATTTATTATGCCAAATACAAATTGTTACAAATTTATAACTAAATTACAACAAACTTAAAACATTACTGCCTACTTGGAGGACACAACACATCAGCACTGTGATTGTGTATCTCCTATGGGAATCGTTTGGCAGTGGGAAATCACTTTGAAACTGCGTTATTATTTCATAATAATAAATAACATTTTGTTACTTAAAATAAGATATTTATTTATGAGACAAAGGCTTATAAAAATAAACATTTATTTCGGACCTCTCTTTTTTCGGTTTCTTTATCTGATATTTGGTTAGTAGAGAAGTTACAATCCATTCTAATACTTTCATCGAAACTAAACTTCAAAAGTCAAAACTAAGCCAACCACTATTACCACCAGTGGGTCCCACAACCGCACTGCAGTTGTACAAAAACACTATTATTTCATGATGAAACGTCTTCCATTAAGATTTTTTATAGAATAATGATGACAAACGAGCACATACTCCACCTGACGGTAAGTGTATGCTTTGGTCCATAGACATATACTTTTATCATTTATTAAGCATCAAAATGTAGATGCGTTGTCACCCCTGAGGCCAAGATGGAATGCCAAAAAAGGGTCTCCTCTGGTTCTATACACTCACCATACGTAACACAGCAGCAGCATTAAGCTTCTGTTTCACGCTGGCGTTTCAGCGTGGTCCTTCCCCAGTCAGGCCGACCCATTCGTGCTACAACCATTAATATAGCTGCAGCATGGCTCTACACGTATAAGAAAATATGAAACATTAAAGATAATAAAGTGTGAATTTTTGCAAAAATAGGTAAAGACTAACATATCTTTAGATTTCCACATTAGACGTGTCATTTATTCATTTATTACAGCCTATCAAAGTCCATTGCTGAACATAGGCCTCCCATAGACTGCCTCATAAGGGGAATATTTGTCATAGTTGCCACGCTTGACAGGTGGGTTGACAACCGCGGTTATTTTCTAGTCGTTATTAGGAAGACGCTGCTGCTCATCTAGTTTGTTTCCCTCTATCTCCTCTTACGACACCCACGGGACGATATGGGGCTGTAAATATTCTTACACCACCCCTACGGTCAACTACTAAACATGTCTATGGCGCTATAACATAATCTGTGCAGTTTTCCGATATACAGGTCTAGAAAGACCAGTATCACTGCTACCTGTAAGATCTATTGTGATGGCTACTATGGCTATAGTTTACTGCTCAGCACTATGTCTTCAATGAATCATTGCTTAGTAAGCATAGTGTTTCAAATCAATAAATATTATAAAAAGTAACAAACAATAACTTCAATTTCAATATCTTCTTGTCGCTTCTTCTCTTGTCTTCGATCGATGAAATTATACATGACATGCCCTTATCAGTTCTCCGTCCAGTAGTATCAACACACGGGGCAAGAAGAATGACAAGGGCGCGTCATTGTATATTTATAACTTCTTTCTTGATACTTCTTACTGCAAAACTTGACACTAGGTGATTCAGCTTTTTGAGAGCGCGGGTTTCATGTTCCTGCATTCTAAACGTGTCACGAACAACACGTAATAAAATGCAGAAAATGATCGTGAAGATGGTCCTTCCAAAATGCGTAGATTTTTTCACCGAGGTCTTGATCAGATAATTCACGGAGCAATCTGTCGATTACCTGTAACAAAAGATGACAATGTTAATTTAAAATATTTCAATTATCTAAGAAAAAATAAAAAAGAAGGATTGATATGATTTTAGTAACTCTATAATGCACCTATAACCTATATTCTAATCTAATATCTAAGCGACATTTTGTGTCATTAGTTGACAAAGTTGGTTAAACTAGATATAAATTAAAAACGAACAATAATTTTGAAAAAACGTGTAATTGCCAGTCTCCTCTACAAAAAACAGTCAACTTGTGGCACTGTTTGATAGAATAAAAAAAAAACTGACAGAATTTGCGTATAAAAGTAGAGAGGATATTTTATAAAATATTTAAATATGCACAAGTCAGGCGACTTGAGGAACTAGTTCAGCGACAGTCAGTCCCAATTGTGAACGTGACTAGAAACATAAAGACGCGGTATTGCTCATTTTACTAACATGCCTTCATACTCGTATTGTATGACTTATACGCGAAACACAAATAAATTGGCTAAATTAGTAGCAATGAAGTGTTCCGACATTTCTAATTCTATATAGTGTCACTCAACTCTAAGATCAATAGCATTCTCTACATGGATTATGTTTTAATTTTATGTTAGTAACTCTGTTGTTTAGCCAACATGAGATACGACATGAAAAAATTACCCCCAGCCCACACTTTTCCAGGCTACGGTGTTTGATGCAGAAAGTCGATGGCTGCAGGTGGCTCAGGACTGTGATCTGTGGCATTTTCTTGCAGAGGCCCATATTCAGCAGTGCACTTGTGATGGGCCGTACGATTGTTCATTATGAAAACTTAATTTTAAAATTAAAATGTATATTTTTATAAAATTTCTTAATTAATATTTTTCTAATATTTTTCGTGTTACAGCATCGTGAGAGTGTCGCAGTTATACCCAGGCTTTAGGTTCTAACTTAGACTAAGTCAATATATATAATGGATACGCAATATATTAGTAATATTATGTTATTACACAGTTCTTCCACTTTATCAGTCCGTAGAAGTCCTCGGCTGAACAGCTCATTTGCATTAATCAAACTTGGTGGATTAAAGTACCAGACGTCTCGCACCTTTAACGCTGCTGCCCATCGCCGGCTTGGGTATGTTACGAGTACGTCTGGTAAACGAGAAGGTTATACTATATTATCGAAAGCTATGAGACTATTTTTTATCGTCTATTTTCGAGATAAATGGAATGGCGTGATGAACAATTAATCATAAATAAATAAATAATGATAAAAGAACCCTCCAGTCAACTCTACAGCGACACTAACACCATCAACGTCGAACGTATATCATTGCTTGTCAGTACAAACGCAACGTACCAGGAGAACATAAACTAATAAACGTTACAACTTTTTCTAAAATCGCGGCCGTCCATAACAAGAGGACCGTAAATAAAAATCGGCTCGCTTCCACCGAGGACAGGCTGTCGCGGACAGGACTGAAAAACAATTTGTAGCGTTACTAACGGAGGTAATGAGCCGGACGTTGTAAATGCTTTGTGTTACGCCCGATCGGACTACTCGGTAACCGTTTTAAAGTGCAACACGATATTGATTTGTTATATTTACGCGAGCACTACACATTAGATGAAACTAATTTTACGGATATTATCGAGTTTAATTTTATTTTTTTAATTCCCGACGTTTCGCTACCCCTACTTCCCCCGTGACCATAGTTAGGTATTAAAAAGTTAAAATTAAACTCAATAAAATCCGTAAAATTAGTTCCGTTTAATACAACACGATGATACATGGAAGCATTAATAAAATTGTAACTACATAATATACTAGAGGCAACATTATTATATTTAATGATTTCTTATATTTACGCGAACACTATACATTGAATAAAACTATGTTTACGGATTTTTTCGCGTCTAATTTACTTATTTTTGATTCCCGACGTTTCGTGTGTTTAACAAATACACAAAATTAATATTCAAAAACTGAAGGTAGCCGGGCTAACTATGACGTCGGAACGTCAAACATCTGTGCCCCGCCCCCGCCTCCCCAACCGTGACCATGGGTTGCTGTAAAGCACCCGAAACGTCGGGAATCAAAAATAAGCAAATTAAACGCAATTAAATCCGTAAACATAGTTTTATTCAACATTATTATTGATTAACGATTCTTGTTTTTCATTGACTCGTGAAAGTGAAATGGACGTGAGCCTCAGCGAGGATTGGACTTAATTGTCGCCAGTAATTTTATCGCAATATATAGGTCTGGATGTTTTACGCCTGGCTTAAACGAGATGGTTATACCGCCAATTTCCATAGCCACCCCTTACGACTCCCACCGAGTAGCTTTTTTATAGGAAAAGGTTGACAACCGAACACAGTCCACCTGGTGGTATGTGAATGTTATGACTTATAGACAACTACAACCATCCTTGATTAAAAATCAAAATGCAGATGCGTTGTCACCCCAGAGGACTAAGATGGAATGCCTTGATTCCAGTAAAAAGGGTCTTCGGTTCTCTACACTCACTATACGAAACACACCAGAATTTAACTGCTTTTTACGCCAGTATTATATTAGAGCGTGGTGATCGTGGCCGTGGTCGAGCAGCACATTATTGCTACAACTATAATAGTAAAGTCTCCAAAAGAGTATTACTTTTCATTGTTTCTAGTGTCTCCGAACTTGTAACCAACAAGCAATGTGCGTTAGTCACCTTTATTAAAATAATCAAATATATAATTTTAAATCTTGCCTTTAACAAAAAAAACCTTTTTAACTAGAACGTATCACCATCCAGTCTCATATCACACCGTCGCGTCTAAGCCTCCGAGGCCGTCATTAACGCAACGGATAGTGCATCTGTTTAAAAGTGATACAGCATTATGGATAGCTCTTGCGATTTGCATTTTCCGGGCGTGGAACGATCTCGTCGGCGGACGTCGAGTGCTCGCGTCGCTCACGTGAAAAACTGTTTCTTACGTGAGTGCAGTGGTTCAAAATGAAATATTTCAAAATGCATTCCATTTATAATATTTTATACATATCAAGTGTAGTGGCGGTCAAGAATATCCACTACCCCATATCCTCCCGTGGGTGTCGTAAAAGGCGACAAAGGGAAACAGCCAGGAGATGGGCAGCAGCATCTTCCTGATAATAGCCAAATGACAATAAAAAAACTGCGGTTGCCAACCCGCTCGCCAAGCGTGGCAACTATGGCAAATACCCCCCAATGATGAGAGCAACAAAAAAACGGCCCCCAGTCCCCGGCGGCCCCGCTATTCCTGGCTACGGTGGCGACCATGGTAACGGCGGGGCAGGGGGTGCTAAGAATCTCCGGTGGAGGTTCGGTTGCCACCTTAGACGACTCGACCTGGCAACGTACAACGCACGCACCCTGAGGACTGACGAGAAGATCGTGGAGCTGGAAGAAGAGATAGACAAGTTGCGCTGGCATATTATAGGATTATCCGAAGTCCGAAGAGAGGGGGAGGACACGGTAATCCTCGAATCCGGCAACTTGCTCTATCACCGGGAGGGCGACCATCTGTCCCAAGGAGGTGTCGGATTTATCGTCCACAAGTCTCTCGTTAACAACGTTGTAAAAATCGGGAGTGTGTCGACGAGGGTTGCGTACCTTATACTCAGAATCACCAAACGGTATTCGCTGAAGGTCATACAGGTTTACGCACCAACCTCGGCACACCCCGATGAGGAGGTGGAGGAAATGTATGAGGATATCTCTAGAGCCATGCATTCCTCCAAAACCCAATATACGGTGTTAATGGGAGACTTCAATGCAAAACTAGGCACAAGAGAGAACGGTGAGCTGAAAGTAGGGAAATTTGGAATAGGGCAACGGAACCCAAGGGGCCAGCAGCTGGCCGACTTCATGGAGAAAGAGGGACTCTTTATGATGAACTCTTTCTTCCAGAAGCGGCCCCACAGGAAGTGGACCTGGTCGAGCCCCGACGGTTCGACAAAAAATGAGATTGACTTCATTATGACGACCAGACGACAACTGTTCAGTGATGTCTCCGTGATCGCGAGGGTGAAAACTGGTAGTGATCACCGAATGGTTAGAGGCACACTGAACCTAAACGTTAAGTTGGAGAGGTCTCGTCTAATGAAGTCAACGCTCCGTCCCCCTCGTGCTCTAATCCAAAGTCCCGAAACCTTTCAGCTCGAGTTACAAAACCGTTTTCAGTGCCTGGAAGACTGCAATGAAGTGGACGATATGAATGACAAGCTCGTGGAAACTGTCCATGCGGTCGGAGCTAAATTCTGCAAGACCCGCCGCAGAAGAACACAAAAACTCTCCGATCACACTCTTAATCTCATGGCTGTTAGACGGGAGATGAAGCTACATTCTTCAACAGACTTGACAGCATACAGGCATCTGAACAGACAGATCTCCAAATGCATGCGGCGGGACTTACGCAACTTCAATACAGCTCGTATTGAAGAAGCGATCGAGTGGAACCAAGGCTCCAAAGTCTTTGCCAGAGATCTGTCTGCCAGAAAGAGCCAACTGTCAAAGCTGAAGACAGAATGTGGCAGCATCGTTTCCGGGACACCTGAGATTTTGAGTGAGATTGAGAGGTTCTATGGGCAGTTGTACACGTCATCGTTGGAGCCACACGCAAGTGTGAGTAACGATCCAAGAGCGAGTCTCATCCGACACTATTCCGAAGATATCCCGGACGTCAGTCTGAGCGAGATTAGGATGGCTCTCCAGCACCTTAAAAACGGTAAGGCCCCAGGCGAGGATGGAATTACAGCGGAGCTTCTGAAAGCGGGTGGAAGACCGGTACTTGAAGTCCTTCAGAAGCTCTTTAATTCCGTCCTCCATGGTGGCATTACACCGGAGGCGTGGAGCAGAAGTGCGGTGGTCTTGTTCTTCAAGAAAGGTGACAACGCTCTCTTGAAGAACTACAGACCGATTTCCCTTCTGAGCCGCGTCTACGTGCTGTTTTCGAGAGTCATTACGAATCGTCTCGCGCGCAGACTTGACGACTTCCAGCCTCCCGAACAAGCCGG